AAAAAAGAATTTTTGAACATGCTGTCACTATATTTACATATTTCAGCACCTAAAATTATATAGATTTCCAGTTTACTTTCTTTGCTGTCACCGTAAAAACGCCATCCCGAATGACAGCAAAGTTGGTGTTTAACGTTAAAAAATTTACTCGTATTCGATATTTTCATGAAATTATATTAATACATCGTGGTTATGTATGTGGTTATAAATTGAGGTGAGAGTGTGTATTAATTTATCTATAGTGATAACTATCATGTATTCATTTATGTAAATATCCAGATAAGGTTTACAATAATTCAGAAAACGAAAATGTCGGTTTTCTGTTACAATGACAGCAAAGAATAGTAACGTTATCAAAATGACCCCCCCCAAAAAATTAAAAAAAATCGAGTCGTTTATCACTTTACCGTCTTTGTTATTATTGTATTCAATCCGAAAATGGCATTTACAGGCTATTAGATTTGGCGAACATTTCAATGATATTCGGCAAGCTTTGTCTTTTTACTATTTCACTTAAGTGTGACTCCTTTTCTTGCTCTGTATTTCAACGTGTAACATGTAATTTGCTTTGTTTTTTATATTACTAATCCAACTTTTCATAATTTAGATGACATGTTAGTATTAAAATGCTCGATTTTTCTAAAAATATTATCATACTTATATTGGATTCTAAAAAAATATATTATGGAGAATCCGCTACACATCTAACGACGTTTTTAATGAGTCTGGGCACATACCTATTAGTATAAAATTTATTTTAAATTGTGTGAGTATGTTTGACACTGTTTCACATATAATTTTTTTAAATTTCAAATTTATGAAACTGTTCAAATTTTAAATTTGATACTAGAAGCTATTATCTGGTTTTACAGATTGATGTACTATTCTTTTAGTATTACTGTTTTACAATTACAATAAAATAATATATTTAATTAGTGGATAATGATCAAGTATTCTTCCCTAGCTGCAGCTTACCATTGACCCTATAAAAAACCAAAGAAGTGAAGGTAACAACTCACTCAAAGAGAGTTAATCTCTGACTCTAATTCCGTGCTTTGCAGTATTGATAAAAATGGCTTCTACAAACCAAAACGGATTTAGCAAAACGGCTGGAAAGCCTATTCGTTGCAGAGGTAATACTCTGTTAAATTTTCTGCTATATATTATCTTTCAAAATTTGATCTTTTGGAATCCTGAAAAGAACTATCTATTTGAAATTTGCAAAGCATAAAGTTTGACAAAAAATAGGCTAACTATGATGAATCTTTGAATGGATAAATATGATTCTTATATAGTCTACTCAACTAGTTTTCATTGAGACATTTGTTGATTGACATGGAATCTTGAAAAGGAGTAGTAGAGGATTTTTGTTGACCAAAATTGTTCCTTTACTTTGAATTCCACATTTCTATGGTGAATTATGTGATACATCTCATTTGAAGCTTAACTGTCGGTATTGAATGGTGCTATTATTTCATCTAAAAGCTTAAATGTAGCATACTATTAATAATTTCGTTAGGATGATCTTTGAATGGATGAAGGGGAGTCTTGGAGCAACGGTAAAGTTGTCTCCGTGTGTCTTGTAGGTCATGGGATTCAAGCCGCGGAAGGAACCACTAATGCTTGCATTTGCATAGGCCGTCTACGTCACTCCCATTGGGGTGCGGCTTTTCCTCAGATCCTGCATGAATGCGGGATGCCTTGTGCACCGGGCTGCCCGATCTTTGAATGGATATATAGGATTGTTGTAGTCTACCCTACTAGTTTGCACCGAGGCATTTGTTGATTGACATGGAATCTTGGAAAGAAAGAGAGGGATTCTTTTAGGAGTTTAAGTTTTATGCAGTGTATAATTTTACACATTAGGGTCACTAAAAAGTAATTGCACGTAACTTTATTCAATCAATCTTGATTCGTGACCTATACTTGCAAACAATAAGTATCGTGCTATAAGAAGTTAATTACATTGATGGTGTAATATTTTCTTACACTGTCGGTATACATCACTTAAATCCTTTTTGTTGATAAATATTGCTGTTTTACTTGAATTGTGCTGCAGCTGCGGTGGCAAGAAAACCAGGAGAACCACTGGTGATAGAGGAAGTGATTGTGGCTCCTCCTAAAGCGCATGAAGTTCGACTAAAAATCATTTGTACTTCTCTCTGTTACAGCGACATTACCTTCTGGAAGATGAAAGTATGGAATTTTTATGTTTATTTCCAAGTTTAGTCTCTCCTCAGTAGAATCTTTTGTTTACTAAATTTTGTATGAACTGATTTTGTATTCTTCTTAGGAGTTTCCTGGATGCTTTCCAAGAATCTTGGGCCACGAAGCTTTCGGGTAAATTCTCTATATTCCCTGTCAATATGTTTGAGTTATATTTATATGCAAATGATATATGTCACTTTGGATAGTGTTTTTTTCTTCTTATTGCTTATTACTCTTTTGCTGCCGAGTATTGCTTTTCTTGAGCCAAGGGTCTACCGGAACACAGTCTCTCTACTTCCACAAGGTAGGGGTAAGGTTTGAGTACACATTACCGTCCCTAGACCCCACACTTTGGGAATATACTGAGAATATTGTTGTTGTTGTTGTTACTCTTTTGCTGGTCAAAGTCGAGGCATTGATTCTTATATATGCACCAGTAAATATGACATTCTTTCTGATACCAATTCTTACTGAATTTAAGGATTGTGGAGAGTGTTGGAGAAGATGTTGAGGAGTTAAAAGAAGGAGATTCAGTTGTACCTATATTTTTGTCCGACTGTAAGGAATGTGTAGACTGTAAATCCGAGAAAAGCAACCTTTGTTCCAAATTCCCATTTGAGGTATCTCCATTGCTACATAGAGATGAAACAAGCAGATTCACTACCGTTGAAGGAGAAACTTTACACCATTTCCTGTTTATATCAAGTTTTTCTGAGTACACAGTCGTAGACATTGTTAATATAACAAAGATTAATCCTGAAATCCCACCTAACCGGGCATGCCTCTTTAGTTGTGGAGTATCAACAGGTAATTTCCTGATCCCTTTGTCTTCTAATTTTACATGTTATAATCATTTCTAAAGTTAGTTGCATTCTGTCTCGAATTTTTCTTAGCACTTGAAATCATCATTTTAGTAGTTTTACACTATTAGGTTACCTAACTGTTCATAAAAAGTGAGATTGGTAGCTTGGAAATAAAACAAGTTACTTACTATTTACACTATCAATGTGTATAAATTAGATTAATATAAGAATACATGAACAATTTCATGTCTGATATTATCTAAATTGAGCTTTCAGGAGTAGGTGCTGCTTGGAAAACAGCAGATGTGGAACCGGGTTCAACAGTAGTGATCTTCGGTTTGGGTGCAATCGGATTAGCAGTACATACCTCCTCCTCCTCCTTGCTTTTGTCGGTATTAATAACCTCTTATGCTTAATCCGGAGGAATTTTCAGGTTGCAGAAGGAGCAAGGCTATGTGGTGCTACCAGAATTATTGGTGTAGATATAAACTCTGATAAGTTTGAAATAGGTAGGTACACTAAATGTTCATTGTACAACAACAAAAAGGGAAGCCCGGTGCGCAAACCACCCCTCGTTTACACAAGGTCCGGGGAAGGGCCGCACCCTAAGGGTTGTGATGTAGGCAGCTTACCCTGATGTAAGTATGAGTGGCTGATCCCACGGCTCGAACCCGTGACCGACAACTTGACCGTTGCGCTAAGGCTCCCCTTCATTGTACAACAACAACTAACAATAACAAAAAAGATAATATTCGTCTTCCTCTTCTCCTTTTTGCTTATTTTTATCTTTCTCATTTGACACAGGGAAGCAATTTGGAGTGACTGATTTTATCAATTCCAACAACTGCGGGGATAAACCTATTAGTCAGGTGGGAAATTAAGAAAGAAGATTATGCTTATTTGTGAATGAGTGCAAAAATCATGGTTGCAGCTTTTATTCTTACAATATGGAATTTATTAACTTAGAAGCTTGACCCCTTGCCTCTTTAGCTGAGGGTCTAGCGAAAACATCCTTTCTGCCCTCCCGGGGTAGGGGTAAGGTCTGCGTATACACTACCTTCCCCAGACCCCATGCTGTGGGAATATACTGCGTATGTTGTTGTTGTAGAAGCTTGACAACTTATAATTATGTGGCAATGATCCTTAGCCTATGCTAAAACTCTCATAATGTTTTTGCTTTTTTTATGAGCAGGTGATAATTGAGATGACTAATGGAGGTGCTGACTATTGTTTTGAATGTGTTGGTCTGGGAACACTTGTGCAGGAAGCGTTCGCCTGCTGTCGAAAGGTCTCCCCCATATAACTCTTACACTAATCAACAAAATAATGAGAACAAATTCATATCTAATACCTTTGGATATAAAATGCAGGGTTGGGGAATAACAGTAGTTTTAGGAGTTGATAAGCCAGGGGCACAGCTGAACTTGAACTCTTTTGAGGTTCTTACGAGTAAGAAAACTCTCACAGGAGCACTCTTTGGTGGTCTCAAACCAAAATCCGACGTTCCTATCCTTGTTAAACGTTATCTTGATAAGGTAATCAATCATACTTATGTTTGTTGCGATTCTTTTCAAGGGACAAGCTGCATTTCAATTATAAAGTTGTGGGATTCATTTGAATAACATTAGTCCTCGCCTTTTTCGTGGCTTTAGGAATTGCAATTGGACAAGTTTGTGACACATGAAGTGAATTTTGAAGACATCAACAAGGCTTTCGATTTACTTATTCAAGGAAAGAGCCTACGCTGTGTTATTTGGATGGACAAGCTGTGATTTATTTTACTGCAGCCTATGCCAAAATAAGTATTCCCTTGTTCTTTAGTTATTGAAGCTCACCTCTCAAAATCCATGTTACTCCCCTAAGAAAAAAAGCTCCTGTAATAGATGAACAGTATGCAATTGTTTTTCCAACATTAAATTAATATCTGTTATTGTGGGAATAAAAAACATCATCAATGCCAAAGTTCTGTTCTTACACTTGCATGTTTAAGTTGGATTTCCTGTGTCTTACTATCCTAAGACACAGTAAAAGCACTAGATGCACCAGTATAATACGAGTTTGGTGATTCATTCGTTTTCTTTGTTGATCCAAAATGCCTTAAGCGATAAACGCCATGATTAGCCTCGTCTGGTACTTCCCATTCAAGTGTAGCATAACTATAACTATTCACATGAGCAGTAGCATTTGCAGCAGCAGCAGCAGCAGCAGCAATAGCAGTAATATTTTCTGCTAGCCATTTAAAGATCAAGCAAAAATCGTCGTCATCATATGCAGGTATCCAGTTTTTGCCTTGAAGCATTTCCACAACAGCAAATGTGCCTTCAGTAAGTAAGTCATATCTTGGATTTGCACTCCAGAATGTAGCAATTGCTTTGTCACCCTTTTTAAATGTTCCTGATTTTGGTACATTTATGTCTTGTTTAATATCACCAAAATTTATGCCTTGTGGAGGTGAGTCACCAGTAGGATTTGGTAGTAGACTAAGTTGAATTGACAAAAGATCTGGAGGTGAAGGTCCTTTAGAAATTTGTTCTCCTTTTGCCATAGATTTAGCTAACTTCTTGAATTCTTGAATATATGCTGATAATGTATGGGGACCATATAGGGTAGATGCAGCCTGTCCAAATTTTTGACATTTTAAAATGTAAAGAAATTTAAGGTTATAATATGCTACCATTATATTTTGACATGTTACAACATGTTACTTTATTTTTTAGGTGAGCCATTAGATTTAATATTGACAGTTACATGTTATTGTACATCACCTGATATAAAAAGAGTTATATTCCGATTGTGAAAAGTATCGTTATAGACACCATATTCCTTTGCCATATGGTTCAAACTTTATTATAAATACAAACTAGTTCGAGTCAAAAGTAAATGCATTAATACCTCGTATCTTTGTTGCTCGTATTCTTCAAAAGTTGTTATATACTGTGAGTAAGCGTTGGTTAGGCCTGCTATGACGACCTCAGTTTGGTCGTCAAATTCGCCATTTCCACTGCTTATTAGTGTTTCTTTTACTGCCTCTCTTAATCGACGACCAGCCATTGTTGTAAACTCTGTGTATATGTTGTGCATAATTTAGTAGTATTACCTTTGTACCAAAAAGAATGAGAAGCCCCAAGAACTAACACATGTGAAATTGTACATTGTTTCTTAGTAATTATTTTGAAAAGAATCTACATATTTAAGAATCACTTAAAACGTGGAGTAATATGCAAGTATAGATCATAATTTTTGTAAAGATTTATAGTTAGTAATTATTTAGAAAAAGTCAGTCAAATCATTACCTCCTGGCACAGAGAGAATGATGAGACTTCCCAGCCTAATAATTTGAATTGGAAGTATTGCTGGCTGCCAAAAAAGTAAAAAACAACTACAAGATTCATCAATAAATTTACTCAATGACAAATGAAATCAAGAAAATAATTTTCTAATGCAGAATTTTCTATTTTTCCTTTTATTTTCTTTCTGGGCCTTACCGCCCACGGATAGGGCCAAGACATTTCTCCAGTGTCCAGCAAAACAGTCTTGGGCTTGTGACAGTCCACTTGATATGGGCTTGGTTCTCTTAACACATCTCTTAGCTTTTTCCAAAATGGATTGATCTGAAAAGCACATCAAAGTTTCAATTTAAACCATAATCAGACTTTCAACTTTATTCATAGAGAAATAAAAGTTTTAATTCAAGAAGAATTAAGCTAAAAATCCGCCCACCTAATTGCTTAAACTAAAAATAGCTGGCGGATATATAATATATCCATGTATAAGATTTGTATAACTGTATATAATCTGTGTATTGGCTAGAAAAAGTAAACAATGAATCAGACTGACTATGTTTGTAAAAATCCCTTAATTTAAAACGAATCCTGACCTCGGTATCGCCTTGCTGGAAACCAAAAACACCAGGCCCATCAGTAGTTCCAGCAGCAAATCCTGGGCCCAATGCTGCAGGGCATGTTTGGACAACCTTATTTCCTTCTAATTGAACTTTAATATTTGTAAAGTTTAAATAAACATGGCGATAATCAATCTTCCCTGTTAATTCTTGTTTAGCTGAAGTGAAAAGCTCAACAGCCTTTTGAAACTGTCTCTCTCCAATAATCTTTGTACTCAAGATTTCATATGGATATCTGTAGTTGAAAAGCCCATTAAAAAATAAAGCCTAATTTAACCAACAGACGGAAAAAGGAAGTGAAAATAGCACGGGCTAGCTAGTTTTCGGACTGATAATTAAAAAATAGCCAGCGTTCGCAAAATCACTGAAAAATAACCATTATTTTGCTGAAACACGTAAAGTTCCAGCATAATATGTTGGATTATCTTATATATAAATTTTCAGCATATTATGTTGGAACTCCAGTACACGGAAAGTTCCAACATAATATGCGCGATTATGGAACTCCAACGAATAAACTTCCAGCATATTATGTTGGAACTCCAGCACATTATGAAATTCCAGCACATTATGCTGGAATCTCATATGTAAAAAATTCAAACTCCAACATATTATACTAAATTTTTCCGAATTTTTAACGGTGTTTTTGTTCAGATGTTATCTTTACATGAAAAAGTAGCTAAATTTTAATTTATTTTGAAACTGTAGCTATTATTCAATTACCAATTATAAATCTGGTTATTTCTGATTTTTTAGAAGTACTCTTTAAGTCTTACCCAGGCCCACGGCCCACACAGAGTTGGTCATTGCCATGACAAGAAGAGTGATTAAAATCACAAGGTAATCCACTGTCAATGCAAAATGCTCCACGCACATTTGGGCTGACATCTCCAACATTTGATTGGCAAAATGCTCCAACAAATTTCAATTCTTTGTTCTTCCTCACCTTAAACCCTTGGCTTGTTGTATTTGCACAATCTTTTCCTCCTGTGGCCTTGATTGTGGATGCTTTATCGAACAAATCTTGGTTTCTACCTGATCCACAAAGAAATTTAAGTTATATATGTTGACGGTATACAGAGTTTATACGCTATTAGTGAATTTTAACCACCGTTAACATGTTAGTCACTTTTTTTTTTTGAGGTTATTAATTAGTAATATTTTTATCATAAAATTTATTTGTAGTTAACTAATAGGTACTTGCACTAATTAACTCAAGCTCAAAAATCTAGCTCATGAGGTAAAAATTATCTAAAATAAATAAATAACGAGATTTCAACTTATTCCATCTACCAATGTGTGACTTGGTATTCCCCTCACGACGGACTAATAAACAACTGAAGCATAAATAACACAACCCATCATTGATAAACGCAACAACATGCATGGATCAACGGCTCAGATTGTTGGAATTGAGTTAGACTCAACGTTATAAATATATCTTAGTATATACTCTTAAAATCAAAACATGAAAAAATATTTATTGAAGTCTTGTGTTCATCACAAACTAAATGAATATTATACCTACCTATCACCTTAGAGTAAGTGGTAGAATTTGTTGAGGAATTTTTCTCCTGAGAAGCAAACCAGTCCTCAAAGAACCTAGCAGCTGCACCTTTGTTATCTCCACTGATAAGCTTGTTATTTCTGCTCATTGAAGTTCCATGTGTTGCAAACCAGTTGAATGCACCAACACTTTTTCTAGTCTCTCCATCCACAAATTTTAAAAGGGTCATTAGAGTATCAACATTGTTAAGATATTTGGACCTCTCTTCTTTAGGGTTGAATAGATATGCACTTGGACTCCTGTTTATACCTGCAGCTGCATTCTCTAGATCCCCTACATAACCATTAAAAAAAAAGGATTTAAAATTCCATCGAAGGGTAGATTAGTAAAGAGGATAAAATAGATTAAATTACGTATGGTCACTGAAATTAAAATTACAAATTATTTTTTGTATTCGAACTTTATACACTAGTATAACATTTAATTCACTAAAAACTTTACCAACTATGACAACTATCATAGAATTTTTTTGTCACATTAAAAAAAAAGATAGAATTTTACCAATTAAAACAGTAAAGTGACTAAACTTTATCCACTAGGCCATTATTACGACAAAACTTACCCATCAAAATTATTTTACTAGTATAGTGATAAAGTTTGTAACTTTAATGTTATAGTGAGAATATGGTACTGTATTTACACCTACAAATATATGATATAGGAATAGTTCAACGTAGTGAATTTGACGGAATTCTTTTTTTTAAGGAATTGCAACTATCCATTACAAAACAAAAAAAATCGTTTTTACAAGTAAATACTCAAGACGCAAGTAGGCTTACAAGGTTTGCTTGGAAATACACATACAAGATTTGCTTGTTACTAATATAGTCTAGTCTCTATTACTTTAATGTGATAAAAATGAATTTCTGTGACTTTCTTATTATAGCAAGTGAAGTTAGTAATAATATGTGAAACTAACTCCAATTTAATTACATCCATATAGGACACTATCAGCAAATATAACTTAAATACTAACCAAGAAATCAGAATACGCCCTTTTTACTTTTTTTCCCCCTTAATGTTATCATATATGTTCTATGTTTTAAGTAAAGACTACAATAGTTAATCGTACATTCAATGTTAGTGAAATAAAGACCCAAAATCTTGTACGTTATATTTTTTTTAGCAAGAAAATAATGATTGATTTCTTACCTTTGTTGATAAAGATGGAACCAGGCTTTAGATTGTCATGAGCTTGGACAATGCTGTATTCAATAGCAGTAACAATGGCATCAAATGACTGAGGAACAAAGCCAAGCGAAGTTACAGTATAAGTCACGTATTGCAAGTAACCTCCTGGACCAGCATGAGTATGTGTCCCACTTATTGCAACATTATCTTCACTGTATAAATTTCCATACCTTCATATGCAAACAAAGTATATTAAGAGAATTGTTTAAGATAATTTTTTCTGCTTTTAGCTTTAGTTGTGGTAGTGAAATGGGATACGTATCGCGCAGCAATTCTATGTTACATAGATTTCTCATTATACGTACTTAATGTGTCTGCAACGAATTAATGTGACATAGGAGTGAGTACTTAGTGTTAACCTTCTTAAATGCACTAAAACATTAGCCCAAAAGAAAATTTGCATAAATAACTATTACTTCTCTAGTTCAATTTGCTCCCTCCGTTTACTTTTACATGTCTAATATGCTAAACTATGCTAAAAATACATTTTTACTTTTACTTATCCATTTTCGCAAATCAGGAGAAAGACAATATTTTTTTTTTCTAGCTTTACCCTTATCATTAACACTCATTCCCTAAATCATTTCCTAAGACTTTTTGAAATGCTATCATTATTATGGGTAAAATTATCAAATATACACTTCATTTATTTTTCTTAAAAGAAGTGTGCAAAGTCAAAATTGGACAATTAAAAATGAACGGAGTGAGTATCTTAGTTTGATTCGGCACCACGTTTAGGAAATAAATAAAAACTTTTAAAGTTTACGACTTTAAACATATCATAACATTTGTGTGTCTATAAGAAATTCTCATTATTAAGGGAAAACGATAAGTTTAAAGTTAATTATTTCAAAATATAGAAATGTGTTATTCTTTTGAACGAATTAATGAGAAAATAGTGCCAAATCAATTTAATTTATCCTCCATTTTACATGATACACTTTTTCTTTTTAGTCTTTTTTAAATAAAAAAAATACGTACCTTTCTATATTTGAGAATTCTAACTATATACTTTTTATTTCACCTTAATGACATGCTCTCTTTTTTTTGCCATAAAAATGACATGACATATTTAAGATCAAAATTTCTGAAAGTACTTGGAATATAGTATGTTCAAAATGCTTTCTTTTCCTTTTCTTTTACGCTTTACGTTGTGGAAGTAATTAGTAACTAGAAATTATGGTACGTACATTGATTTTAGTCTCTCAAGTACTTTTATTGTCACAAGTTGTGAAGCCATCCCGGCATCAAGGTTAACGAAAGCAAACCTCGGACCTTTTGAATTTTCAGCAACAATGAAAGTCCTAGCTCTTAACCTGAAATGTATACCGCCAGTAACTTGATCAAAATTACCATATCCCATCATGTTTACTTGAGCAGCTGGGCCAGTCATGTCATAACTCCCAACTCCTATTAAGTATTCCCCATTGACACTTCCAATTATTGAACAACCTAAAAGCAGAAAAATACTTAATAAGATCTCTGTTTTTCTTCTCATTTTGGTCTATGAAGGAAATTGTCTAGATAGCTTTCAGAATATATAAGGGTTATGTTGGTGAAAAGTTGGGAATTCCTAGGAAATGCTGGAGTTGTTGGGATTAAGTGACATAAAACTTAGACGTTTTGTTTTTAAATTTCACTCTGCTTCTTAGGCATGTCCGAACGTGAAATTTAGGGAAAGCTGTCTTGTTTGTTTATGTTGGAATTGTACCTCTTTTACGGCTCGTATTTTAGCTGTTTGTTTTTTCAGTTTCATTTGGATTAGACTATGCATTTAGAGAAGATTGACAAATCGGTAACGACGGTAAGTCAAGATTTTTGAGAGAAAGAAAAATTAAATAAAAAAGGGAAAAAACACCAGGATTTATCTATAAACTTGGTGTTTTCTTTTAGCTCTTACATTGATAGAATGAGTTGTATGAAGAATTATTTTGTCATATCAAATATTACTTGGTGTAATATCCACATTTAGACGATATGAAAATAAGAAAATAACGGGAGTGATGACTAAGAAGGAAATCACTCAAATGAAAGTGATTGAGTCAATCAAATTGGCATTTCCAGTCAAATTGGCCAGTACTTATCATAAAACTTTGGAATAATTGCACCTCAGATTTTTCGGTATCCAGGAAAATAATTTTTGAGAAACCACTATTGTTTAGTGGCTATTAACTTCCTATAACTATCATATACGTAATTACTTCATATAGCTACTTTTTAATTGTTACGCGACTGTATTCTATGTATTCGCGCTACTGTATTCATGAATACAGTAGCGAAATTCGCCTAAAAAATAGGGGAATTCAGTTGTTTAATAACGGAAAGAGGATCAATTAGCATGTATCACTCCTAATTTAACTCAACAAAATTAATTCTACATAAATTTCGCTGCTACTGTGCAGTATTCCATGTATTCATGCGACTGTATTTAGTAATCAAGAAATAGGGTGTATACCGTTCTATTCAATTCGACTGTATACATTGTATTCAATTCACATATATTTATTATTCACTATTATATATTGTATTCAATTCACCGTATTAAATTCGACTGTATTCAAACAACAAAAATCACAAAACACAGTGATATTCGATTGTATTAAAAAAATACAGACTTTCGGAATACATAAATACAAGCAAAAAAATAATATATTTATATAATAATATAATGTATTTATACATAATACAATATATTTGTATCATTGTATGTGACTAAATAGCAAAGAAGAAAAGAAAGTTCGCCGGAGATGGCATTTTCCGGCCAAGCAAAATACTGTATATATTGTATTAAAGCTAAAAATGGAGACGGACAA